CACACACACACACACACACACACACACACGCACGCGCGCGCGCATATAGTTTTAGTCCAATGCGATAACTTTAACTAACACTGGAAATCATCTGAATGACCAGAACACAACGTTATGGTTAAATGCGGGTAATTACAATTACAATTATTAAACAAGTTTTCTTGTTCAAGAACAAAATTCTCCTCACCTAAACGAGAACGCATACCAACGGTTTTTGCAACGGTTATATATTTAAATATTTATGACGTAATACAAAATCAGCCTATCAAATGAATGCTCTCAATTTATCAATGAGTATTTCTTATTATAATTGTTGTTGTTGTTCTTGTAATAATAATAATAAAAGCTATATGACCACCAATATCATCATATACATATACTGATATCATCCAATAAATTTAACTTCTGTACCATACTTTTATCGCTCAATAGAGAAACGTTTAGCGTAAAAGTTTTTATGGAAACAGTTTGAGATGGATTTAACTCTCACAACAAACCAATAGGAGGCAGTAGGTACAAGGCTTGCTTAGAAAATACAAAGCTATAGGAGTTGCCTTTATGCTTTTACATTTTTATAGAACACGGTCATTGTTTATAAATAAAATATGAAATGTAAAAATAGTTTTAAGCCATACCATGTAACTTTATGTAGGGCTATTCCGCATTAATAAAGGGTGTTTATTGTTATGTAACTTTTATCAAGTCCATCCAGACTTAACTGTGTTTACTTTCTTCTTTATGAAATATCTCATTGAAATCCAAGACCAAGATCTTTATATACACACAACGAAAATAAAAAATGCATTACGCGTAGAGCGTATTACGCGACGTGCTGAGGAACGTCAGTTCCTACGTCATAGTCACGTGGTAACATTTGAAATTAAACCTCGAATCGCACAACAACAACAACACTACTGTACTGTCAGCAAACAGCATATTGGAAATATTATTCAAGCGAACTGCGACGAAACAGGAATATTTTATGACTTTCGGAGGTATAGTCGTGACTTTTACAACTTATAAATGTAATACAGGCGCTACTATAATGTTTTGACGGTTTGAACATGATTAGCTAGCAGCTGTAACGTTAGCTGTAGACTGACAGTTAATGAGTATTAACCCAAGCGCGTTATATCTAGTGTTTGGAGTACAAACAAGCTTCCAAGCAAACAACCATGTTGTATTGTTCAAATCACAGGTAACATCGCTCAGGATGTCTTTAGAGTTAGAAAAACTGTCGACTCACAATTGGAGGTAAGAAATGAATGCTAAAGCTAATGAATATCGTTATGTTTTTACTGTTGTGACTTAAATGTCTACCAATTTGAGCCGCCCTATTTGCAAATATTATCCATTGACAGCTAGTTAAATTACAGATTTGGAAAATCTAGCTAATTTGGAACTGACATTCCAGAATCTGGTATTTAATAATGTTATCAAAAAGTTAGCGCAAAAACAGTATTTGTACATTGTTCATGAAACATTTTTTTCACATTTTTAAAATGTTACTACTTGTTTTAGAACGTTCAGAGAGAACATTCAAAAGTAGCGTTCCCATAATATTTGCAAAATTATAAAGTGCAGTGTTCCCTTAAAGAGAGAGTTCACCCAAAAATGAAAATTCTGTCATTAGTTGACGGTAGCCATTGACTTCCATAGTATTTTTTTCCATACTACGGATGTCAATGGCTACCGTCAGCTCTTGGGTTACCAGCATTCTTCATATTATTATCATATTGTGTGTCCAACAGAAGAATTAAACTTATACCGGATTTGAACAACTTGAGGATGAGTAAATGATAACAGAATTAACGTTTTTGGGGGGAACTATCACTTTAACGTTTACATACCCCAGAAAGAAAAGTTTTTTTAACACTTATATGCAATTGGGCATTTTGAACTTTTAGAGAATATTCAGAAATAAAGTTTTCATAACTTAATGGACCCTTTTCACAAGACTGATGACTTAATGACTTAATCCTCAAGTTTTTCATATTTGTATTTTTTTTTTTTAATGTATGTACATTTATAACACTATTCTTTGTATTATATTACCTTTGCATTAAATTGCAAAAAAACTAGTTAACGCTAATGCGAGGGTGTTTCTAATGCAGCGTCTATGGGAGGGACAGTACATTTGACATTGTGACTGCCGTTTTCAGTCTCTCTCAATTTTTTCCCTTTTATAGAACTATCGTTTTTCTTTTGCTATTTGAGCAAATGGGAATGCAAAAATATATATTTGTGGTACTCTCCCATTCACTGCTCTTTAAGTTAACCCAGCTATGACGACTTCTGCTGCTGAGAAACCCAGAAATGTGAAAAACGAAGAAAAAATAAGGTCGATTGGACTGTTAACAAAATGCTCTTAGAACATATACTGGGATAGAACTAGTGCTGCTGTTAATGGGCCAAACTGACTCAGCTATTGGCTCGTAATGGCCAAATATCATTCCATATATCTAGGCCTGTCACGATAACAACTTTTTGTTGTGCGACATACTGCCCCATAAATAATTGCGTTAAGCGATATTATTGTCATTTTAAGACCATTTTATGTTAATGTATAATCATAATATAACAGTATAATAATGCAAGAAGGCCTACACACTTCCAAATGACAACAAACATGTCATTCTTAAGAATATTTAGATCATGGAAATGAAGTATCAAAATATTAGATACCTTAAAAAACTTGAATAAATAGTAAATATTTTCTAACAAAAAGTGCAAAGTAACA